GTATTGCTTCATGAAATTATCATTTTCACAGCCCTATAATTTGTTCAATACTATAATTTATAATATTGTATCAATTTTTCTTCTTTCATATTTGAATGATATTCTTGCCTTCTGCATGATATTTTTGCATCTTGCATATTTTGCATTTAATTTCTTAGTTGTATCTTTGATAGTTTTTCTTTTTACTGAAACAATAAAATAACAAACAATATTAGAAGTTTGTAGAAAAATAAATTATGAATTATTATTAAAAAGCAGAGCTGTATGTAATATTTATTTTAATATCATAAGATAACAATATAGAACAAAAGTTATGTTTGTATAAAAGAGTAAAGAAGTAGAAGGATAAATATTTTTTTTCTTTGGTATTGTTTGGCTTTATAATTATGTATTGTATTAATTTTTTTCAATCAAATGCATGATCTACCACTGCTGTGACTTAGTTTGCTGTATTCTTATACAATAAATGTCTTGATCTAAATATTTATTGAAAACTAATGTTTGCGCAATTATAATTACTGATCGTGATAAATGTGTTATATTAATTTTTTGTATATTTATTTTGTGACAGTTGTTCACGTTATGGTCCTGGCTGCCTATGCGGATCACCATGTATCAACCAATTCTATTGTATACAACAGAGGAGCATGGTTGTTCTTTGACAACGTTCTATGTAAGAGTAGAGCAACATGAACCAACTCTTCTAATGATAAAAACATGTAACAATGAAGTAAGTTTGTTCTTTATAAAATGTTGCTTTTTTATTTCTATTTAAGATATTCAATTAATATTCATTTGTATTCTGCCATAAGGTATTTGGTGCTTATTGCTCCACAAGATGGTGTGAACGTAATTTAAAAAATGATAAAGGACAAAGACAAGCCTATTTCGGAACGGGTGAAACTTTCCTATTCAGCTTGTATCCTGAACGAGCAAAATATCCTTGGATTGGTATGGACTCTTCGCACAATGATTCTAAAGTTCATCATTCAGCTGAACTGTTTATGGCCGCAGATTCCAAAATGATAACAATTGGGGGAGGGTAAGATTTTCCTTGTAGAATAATATTATACATGAATTCCTGAATTATTGACATGAAAAAATTATTATTTTTATTTTTAGAGACGGTCAGGCGATATGGATGGACGAAAATATAAGATACGGTAAAACAGATCGGTGCTCTACATTCAATAATCCACCTCTTTGTGCCAGTGGCGATTTCGAGATTAGAGTATTAGAAGTATATGGATTTGCCGGTGCTTAAAAAGAAAACAGGATTTGGCACTACGACGTATCAGCTTATTTGATTCCCTACTGCCATTTAGTGACTCTCTTCTATATATATATATACATACATATATACATATATATAATACATATATTCTATATATATTATATATATGTATATAGTATTGTATACACCATATACAAGTATCTTCGTATCGTATATGTGCAAACTTACCGCGCTTCTCTACATGCGGTATTTGTGATGCATCTTCAGTCGTTTGCGAGGTACTAGTATTATTATATGTGCATGTTTCGTTGTTGAGGCGCTGTAAGAGGTTCTGTACCGATTGAGATTATCTCCTTCGTTTTATTACGCTTGTTTGTTCAATTATTTGTCTCGACGTTTGCAAAAACGACCAGACAATTCTTACCTTTATTGTGTCGCGAATTTATTCTCTAATTCAGGAAATAGGACATGAAATGGTTGCTAACGCATACATTGTAATCTGCGACATAATGAACATCGACAATAATCAACGTTCAGTCATCTTTTAGTTATGTTACAAATCTTGATATCTAATATGTAAATATGTAAGAAATTATTAGTTATTTACATGAATACTTAATATTCATTGGACCAGATACTATCATATATATACATTTGTGTATATACGTACATATACTGCAAATTAATTTCACCGAATCTGTTGTTAATTTTGCAGTTTAACAGTAATGCTCGTATACGTATGTGTTAATACTTTGCAATGTTTATTTTATTTTAGTATTGTTACAACTAGCTTTAATGAGTTATTGGATGTGCAAGACAACCGAAGGAAAGAGTACTGTTTATATGTTACATATTATGCCTGTCGCGCGTTAATCGTAT